TAAAAGATATTGTAAATGTGACTGAACGTCTCCCTCAGTTTGACAAGTTCCTCTTTCTGTTTTAAAGCATGATTGTGCCACTACCTAATTTCAGAGTGATAAAGTGGTATTTGTGGTGGCACTGAATGCTATGTCGTCAGCCACCCAGCATTTTCAGTATAGGCCTAACATATTCCCTTTTGTAGCTTCTTTTTCATGTACATTAGGTCTCTTATATTGCACATAGAAAACTTTAAAGAGGAGATGATACAGTTAACCAAATTAACCCAATTCAAGAGATTGTGTCTTACTGTTACAATGATTATATTACAGATGTAAAAAATATAAACATAGAATAAGAAAACATAGCATTGTTTTATAATTTTCTTGGAAGGGCGTCATGTTGCAATGTTGCAACATGTTGCAATACTCCAAGTGGTATTCTGGTTTGAATAGCAAGACCACACAAAAACAAAATCTCTTTTGCACTCTTCAGATTTTCCAGAAGGTTTTCACTGACGCCTAATATCAGCACACAGTTCTTAACACAAATAGATTTTCCGGAAACTTAGCCTGACCTATCCCTGTTCCAAAATAAGACTTTAAAGATGTTGAAATTTAGTTTGTGAAAATTTGTTCCAAAAGAAAACATAGGGATGAATGCACAAGACAGGTGATTATGTGGAAATTACATCTAAATTGCTAAACAAGTCTGAATTAATTTCTTTTGTGAATTTGTAAATTTTTTTATTCGACTCCTGGTATTCCTTTATCTACTTTTATGATAATCCATTTGTGTTTACCCATTTTGCTTGAAAAGCTTCTGACTGTAACACAAATGTAATTAAAACTGTCATTGTTACATTAAATATTTATAAAAAGAAATAATTTTAATGCACTGTTTTAATTAGCAAGAAGGTCAATAAATGAAATTAACAAGAAGGTCAATAAAAAATGAATTTAACAAACAAACAATGATCAAACTAAATTGAGTTCTTACATTCAATTATACTAATTGAAACAGCTTGCAATCTAATTGTTATTTCTAGCCAGAAAGATTTACTGGTAAAAGGACTAGATGTGCACAAACGCTAAAACTCGATAGAGTTTACAGATATGAATAAAACTTCACCATAAGAACATACCCAAACAGTACTTTTCTCCACATTTTACTTTCTGCAAGTATGTTAAGGTTACTTTTTAGGTTGGTCTAGCAACCATGAAGGCAGACATCCAACAGAAACACCTAAAGCAAACATAAACCCTCAGAAACAGCATCCATATCCCCATCCTACAGCCTTTCTGAGTGAATGGAACAGACAGGGTCAAATATTGTCACAGGTTATCCAATTACTGTCTTTACCAAAGTTAGCCCAAGTAATAAAATGATCTAGTGTGCTGCTCCAAATGTTGCTTGATGCTTTGTTCTCCATATATGGGCTTTTATCTACAATTAGTCTAATGATGACCATTCCAAACAATGACAAAACAGTTTTGGCACATGGAAACTACCTCCTATGGTAGCCAGTGTGTTGTGATCCAAGAGTGGCTTTCTATCCAATTAGGGAGCTGGTTACGTCCAGATATGATTGCTTTACTTGGTTTTAAGGATGCTCAGGGATCAGAACGATCATGCAAAAGCTAAATGGAGAAGGGAATCTGCTGGGAGAATTTACAGGGAACAGAAGGGCCAGGAAATACTGAATGGTCAGGGAAAAGTGAAAACAAAATACAGTAGTAAAAAATATTTGAAAAAATAAGGTAAAAAAGGAAATTGAAGGGGAAAAAACAAATTACCTTTTTAAAAGTTTAATAAGAAAAGGTATTTATAATCAGATTTATGAATCATGGTTTATAAATCCCAGTTTAGACATTCAATTGTTATGCATTTTCAAATTGCATTATTTATTGCTTTGCATTAATGAATAAATACAATTTACAATTCTTTACAAAATGCATTTCTGAAATGGTTCTATTTTTTTTTCAGTGACTCCGTTTTTCATACATAACAGAGTTATTTATAAACTGATCACTCAAAACCTAGAAAACATTAAAAAAGGAAACTAATAATTATTTTAAAATAAAAAGCAAACATTAGTGACAAAATTTTTACTGATAGGTATTTGCAGCTTACTGTAACATTAAAGTAAATGTTCTAAAAGGTCAAACTACACGACTTTTATTATCTTTCCAAATATTGTAAAAACTCCTAATGGGTAATACAGGATGTTTACAATTTGTGTAAGCTGATAAATTCTGTATATTTATTGTTTGTTTCTTTAATCTTCTTTGCTAATTTGTTTGCAGATGGATCAAGTAAAAACAAACAAAACCATAAAAGGAAGATGATTTATAGCTAGCAAAGCGCCTGCGCAGCAGCTCTCATTATCCTTTTATCTGCTGCGAGCATCAGCCAAACCGTAGTAGGGGGGCGTGTTGAGCTTTGGCGGCGGCGTTCCTTGTTGTTCCGCAACAAGAAACCACAACAACTTGCTGAAAAAGGAAGATATGTTTCAAAAGCCTCCAGCCTGAAACAGTGGGTGCTAGAGTTGCTATAGAAACCATTGAGCCCACCAAAAAGCAAAGATTGTCAGAGATATTAGAGATGTAGAGAAAGCATGCATGAACACGCAAACATACAAAATTATTTAAGGCAACTAAGGTGTCTGTCTAAAGTCATAATCCTTCAAATTTTTCCATTGACATGTATAACCTGTTATTCCTGCACTAGACAAGCAACAGGAGGACACCACAAAGAAAAAGGATGTCACCAATTCATGAGAACACTTGAAAACAAACACACATGAAAATATAATACATACACACACACTCAGTATATATAAAGCAGGTTAGCTAATGATCTCTAGATATGTGGATTTTTACCATAATGACTGGGGCTCACTCATTACCCAGTGTACTTTTCAAAGACTAATGTAAGGCTTTGATCTGCAACCACTCTCTCCAACCCTCTTCAGCATTTCCTTCTCAATTACACATTATCCATGTTATTCTCTGAACTCACAGCTGGCAGTGCACCATCTCAGTTTCTCAGAAGACCAATAAGTTACAGCCTAATTTTTACTGCAGCTTTATAAAATCATTATGCTGGTTGGTAAAATGTTAAAGTAATACCTTTACTTGAGACTATATACACTTAATATTAACCTTAGTAATAGCCCAGAACTTCAATCAGTCTGCTTAAAAGGGTAGAGGAACTTCAGACATGCTTTTTTTTCTCCAACATACACACATACATGCGATTACGAATACAACCAGGCAACAAAGCTGCTAGCCAAAATCTGTGCAGCTCAAAAAAATAGAAATCCATAGCAAAAAAAAGGCCAAATCAAGCCGAATTGGCCAATATAGGCTTAAAAATCCGATCATGTTTTAATGTGAACACAACCTCCTAAGAACTACCAAGACTTTCCGACAATACACTTGGTGAAAGTTGTCACTGAGGAGAGGAAACTCTAACTTACAAATTCAATTTTTTTTCAATATCAGCAAGGTGTCTAAAAGGGAGGCTACTGAAAACACACAGACAGGAGCAAATCTAATGAAACAATTATTTGTCTTACATACTCTTATATATGTTGGAACAAACCAGAAATACTGGAAGACTTTTAAAAATCTTAAAGTTAAGGTAAGGATTCTGTATAATATACACAAACAGAAAAATGTTTCTGTTGTCCAAATTTTGCTGTTGTTACTAATTTAGTTAGTAAGTGCTTCGGAAAGCAAGTTAAAGAACACAGCGTCTCCAGTCTCCCCCCAACAATCGATCTGTTTCAGTTTGCCAACCGACGGAACCGCTACACTGAGGACGGCATCTCATCTGCTCTTCACCTGAGCCTGGCACACCTGGAGGAGAACACTCACATGCAGATGCTGTTCCTGGACTTCAGTTCAGATTTTAACACCATCATTAAACAGCATCTGATAAGAAAACTGGAACATCTGAGCTTCAATACACCCGTCTGCAATTGGCTTTTACACTTCCTCACAAACAGACCTCAGTCAGTCCGGGTCGGACAAAACACCTCTAATGTCATCACTCTAAGCACAGGCTCCCCTCGGGGCTGCGTCTTGAGCCCCCTGCTGTTCACTTTGATGACACACGACTGCCCCCCAGGTTCACCACCAATCACATTGTGAATTTTGCAGACGACATCCCGGTTGTGGGCCTAATCAGAGACAACAACGACCAGGACTACAAAGAGGAGGTGGAGCAGCTTGTGGGCTGGTACAAAGATAACAACCTGATCCTGAATGTTGAGAAGAGGAGGGAGATCATCATCGACTTCGTGTACAATACAGACACCCTCACCTGGACTGTAAACGTCACCTCACTGGTCAAAAGGGCACAAAAGCGCTTATACTTCCTACGGAGGAGGAGAGCCCACCTGCCACCATCCATCCTCACCAACTTCTACTGTACAGAAGCACCATTGAGTGCGTTCTGACCAGCTGTCTCACTGTGGGGTATAGAGGCTGCAGCACATCAGACTGGAAGTTGAGGAGAGGTGCCAAACCACAAGTAATGCATATTTGCACTGTATATATTTAATGCTCTAAACTTCCATATCAATTGGTTATTACACCATGTTTTGTCTCTCTTTTATAGTAATTTTGTATACACAGAGTGTATAAAAAATTACTATAAAAGTTGTCTAATTTAAACTCTAGATGTTAAAGCCAGTTAATATATATATATATATATATATATATATATATATATATATATATATATATATATATATATCATCTGAATTTTTTTTATTAAACAACGATGCTCTTTTTTTTTTTACAACTGCTTTCTCCCATTGTTGGGTAATGTCACTACTGCTCTTAAGACAAATATTTGCCTGCTTAGTTTCAAAATCAATCTTAAAAATAATATTGAAATCCCCAAAAATTCGTATTAGTCAAAACTTTAGAAATTCTAGAGATTTACAAGATTCTACTTAAAAAAATAGAAACGTCAGTCATTTATGTGACTAATCCCCATCAAAACTCACCTATAAGCTCCTTGTTCCTGATGTCCAGGGCCATGTTCCGAAGCGCTGTGGCGACAGCACACACCACCTTGTCGTTGTCTATCCTCAGTAGCTCCACAAGAATAGGAAGGCCTTTCTCCTTACGGACTGCAGCCCGGATGTACACAGACCACTTCCAGGAAGAAAACAGGAGAAAGTAAATTTAATTTATTTTTTATGAGTATATGGTTTAAATCCCATTAAACCATGGGTGAGCTACTGATCTGCGATGATAAAATACTCATTTATTGGCTTCTTCAGACAGTTTCAATTAAGCAGGCTGAGTATTTTTTTTTATCCCAAGTTTATCCCAGATATAGAAAGAAAAAAATGGTTTTATTTAGGGAGTTTTTTATTCATCCTAAGATAACACACGTATGTATTGGCTTAAACCTAAATGGCAGAGCTAAAAGCATTTGCCAGCACTGTCTCAGAGAGAGGGACCTTATTTAATAAAAAAGTGCCACACAAATGGAGCCTTTCAGGATACACAAGCAGTGTTACGCCAGAATTGAGAATCTTATATACTGAAGACCACCTGCTCCTGCAATTTTCCTTTCTTCCACTGATTTTTCAAGAGCCCTCCTCTTCAGTCTCTTATACTCTCTTTGTCCAGACTGCTATCAGTGGAAATACTTGTCAGATCAAAATCAGCTCCAAACACCTCACAGGCAGACTGATGAAAAATACTCTCAGCTAAAACCCCTGTTGTCTTTCCCTTTTCTTCCTCTCTTTCAATGACCATTTTCATTTGACTAGTTTTCTTTTTAGCCTGCTTACACACAGAAATGCAATGCAGTTGTATAAATCCCAGCTCACCCTACAGATGCACTCTTACACTCTGCCTTTAACCCTCATAGATCTCTTCCTGAAAGGCAAGTTGCCTTTACACCACCCTGACAACACAACACCTACATGAGTCATTCATAATATCTATGTAGTTCCCACTCCGTTCACGGCTTTGGAGTTTGTCTAGTCCCTGGTATATTAGGTTTCAGAGCATCAAGTAGCAAAAACAAACAAGTTTATTGTTTTGGAATAATATTAGTTGGTTCAAGATACAAAATCCCCAAGATTAAGATCTAATAAAACTCTGCAGGTTGCTACAGTCAGCAAAAGCAATATTGCTTCAACAGAGTTTGCATTGAGTGGGAGTTCTTTATATTCTCTGGGAATAAAAGAAAAACGCTGTGTTTCATTCAAGAACACCCCCCACCCTGTCTAAGTGCGTCTGTTTATTTGACTCTTTTTAAACAATATTCTGACTTTTAAAAGCTAGGAAAGGCATTTACTTTGCTCAGCAAGACAATTCTACATCTGTTTTCCTTCACACCTTTCACTGATAATCCCTTTTACGGACATGGATTTAAAACACTGGAAAATAGGACTGCAGAGCAGATTAACCCATATGAAGAACAATTTTTTTTTACTGGTGAACGAATTTGGATGTAAATATATTTAAAGTAAACATACAAAAAAAAGGGAAAGCTTAAAAACATATTTTAAGTTTTAAATACCTTCCAGCTGCCTGCAGCAAGGTTCTGTAGGGCCCCAGCTGCACCTTCAAGAGTGTCAGGATTTGAGCATTCAGAGAGCAGAGTGAGATATGGCTTGACGATGGTGGGGTGCCACAACATCTGAACCCCTTTGGGAGGCTCTGCTGTGTCTGGAAAGGGACTCACACCATCCCACTGTGAAAGAACAGAGTGAATTATGTAAATGTTGTAATGTTAGGTTTTATTTAGCTTGTTTCTGTGAAATCACCAGAAAATGCAGCAGAACAGTGATTTATAAGCCAGCAGACTTTTAACTTGACAAATACAAGATTATGATTAAGACAAAGGCGCCTTAATTTATGAAATGGTGAGTCCTCCTCAATCTTTAGTTAAACATACAGTACATGGATAGGTAATGATGGGATCTTTGAAAGTAATGCTAAATAATGTAAATAGCAATAATGAAGCATGCAAAAGCATCAGCATTTTTCATGTTTTGAAACCTCGGAACCTGAAATTACAGTGAGTTTGAGAGTTCCTACATTTTATTTAAAGAACACAGTTCCAAATTTGAAGATTTATAATCTTGCTTATTGTGAAGAAAATCCACACTAAGAGAGAGAAGCTGCAGCACTGCAGAAAAACTCTGTAGAAGTATGATAGAGTGGTGCAGGACATGTAAGGAAACTCTAATACAGTGGTGAGATCTGCTGTAGGGGGACAGAGGAGTTCAAGTTGGAAGAGGGGCTGCAACAGGGATTGGCTCTGAGCCCCTCCTCGTTTTCTGTGATGGACAGATTGACAGATGAGTTTAGACAGGAACCTCAATGGACTATGATGTTTTCAGATGACCCTGTGACCTTTGGTAAGAGTAGGGCACAGGTGAAGGAATCTTTTTCTCTGGGTACTCCGGCTTTGTCCCACAGTCAAAAAACACGACTGTTAGGTTTTTGGCTTCTCTCCTTAGGCATTACTGTGTGTGTGTGCATGGTTGTATTTCTTTGTGTTTCTCTGTGACTGACTGGTGACCTGTCCAGGGTGTACCCTGCCTCTCCCTCGAAGATAAGCATTGGATCAACAGTCCAGAGCAACAGTGAACGTGGATAAGAGGTGAAGAAGCAGGTTGGAACGGGTGGAAAAATATATTAGGTGGTTTTGTGTAACAAAAGAGTATCAGTACAAATACATGGAAAGGTGTATATATTGAGACTAGCAATGTTGGATGATTTAGAGACAATGGAACTGAGAAAGGGAAAAGAGACAGAGCTGGAGGTAGAAAAGAAGTTAAGGTTCTCTTTAGGAGTGAAAAGGAAGGATCAGTTTTGGAGGTAATGCATCAAAGGGTCACTTCATGTTAGATGTTATGGAGAAAAAAACATTGAGCCAAGACTGAGATGGTTTGGACATACTGTAGGAGAGATTAATGAGTACATTGTAGAGGGATGTTGAGGCTGAAAATGCTAGGAAGGAGTTGTAGTGGAACATTAGATAAGAGGTGTAAAATTACTCAAACAACAAGTAAAAGCAAAACACCTTAACAGAAAATGGCTTTGGTGAAAATTCAAAGTCACTCATAATAAAAGTATTAAAGTTAAAGTAAGTGAATTCTTCATAATTCATGGGAAAGTAAAATATTTAGGTTTCTACTTAATAAGTAAAAAAAAAAAACATTTTTTTTTTGTCGGATCCTTATCTTCACTTGGATAAAAACAATTGTGATAAAACATGTTGGAAACCTACTTTAGCCTTACGAAAACATGGTATTCAAAAAGTGCTTTGCACAAGAACTCAGAATAACACAAACGTAACTCAGTTAAATAACATGCAACCACAACTGTGCTGTCTGCTTGGAAAAACTAAAAGTGCTTTCTGTAGGAATACAATGAAATGAGTCAATTCTGTCTCGGAGGAAAAAGAAAACAAACAATAATGTAGGATGGTTTATTACTAACGTGGGTTTATGAGCTTTTTAGGAAAATATCTAAAATGAAGCAGCAAAGGAACTTACTTCCTACTCTGGAGAAATAACGTCCCTATTTTCAAAGAGGAGTATGCAACAAAAAAAATGCAGTGCAGTGCGGCTCTTCTCCTCTTAATTATATGCATAAACAAATCCTGTCATGATAAATCAAAGCGGTATTTTATTTTTTTAGTGAGTGACAATGTCTTTGTTTGTCTTATGTCTCTAATGTAGCAAAAAAACAAAAATCTCAATTTTGAAAAGAAAAAATACTCAGTGAAGTACAGACCCTTAAAAAACTGTGAGAAGTTATGATATTTCTGGGTTAAATGGAGAAGGATGACATGATGTATACCTTGGAAGGAAAAAACCGAAAGACAAAAGATTTTTGAAATTTGCATTGAGCTTAAATGTTTCTGAGTCAGAAAAACTTCTAGTGATTAAAGAGAAATAAGGATCCGTTCACATCAGCATTTGAAGGTCAAAGTACAAAAAATACACTACATGCTACATCCACGATCTTAAAATATATACAATTACTATTCAGGTTTTTCTTCAAAAATATTTTCCCCTTGCTACTATAATAAGTTCAAAAGCATGCTGTAACAGCTTCTCTCAGAGCTGATTCCCAGTAACAAAGGCATATCCTTTTAAAGCATTTGCCCACTTTTACACACTAAATTTAATTCAATTCAGTTTATTTCTATAGCGCCAATTCACAACACAAGTATTCAAGGCACTTTACAGTTCAACCAGATCATACAGTCAAATTGATTCAGGGTTTTCTATCTAAGGAAAACCAGTTGATTGCATTAAATCATTGACTCAAATGCAATCCCTCACACTAAGCATGCTTGTAGCGACAATGGAGAGGAAAAACTCCCTTCAGAACTCCAGGAGAACCAGGCTCAGTGTGAGCGGCCATCTGCCGAGGCCGACTGGGGTTCAGATTTAAATAAGTTAACTTCATAAGATTTATTAAACACTATGCTGCTTGCAAGTTTATTTTTCATAACAGCATGTTTTGCAGCAAAAACATTGATAAAGGAAAGCTATAGATCTAAAAGTACTTAGAATGCTTTGTGTGTAATGCAGCTCATATTGCAACAGTGCCTTCCAACGTTATTATGATAAGTAGAATAAATGTTTAAAAAAACTTGATTTTTTTATTGTACAGCCTGCTTATGTGAATTTCTTTATTAAAACAAAATATGTGTATTGCTTCAGTGTTTTTGAATAGAAAACCTTTTTTTTTCTCTTTATCCCTCTCTTTGTCCCTTTTAGGTAGGAATGAATCATAGCACTGCTGTATTTTTTTTCAGCAAAGCTGAAGATGCTTTTAACTTCACACATTTGACATCATTTATTGTTTTTTGCAGATTGTGTGTTGTCCATTATCTTCAGTAGCTTACAAAACATTCTTCATTGCACTCATCTAAAAGGTGTCCCGAGAAAGTCCTTGGTAAAGATGTAGCCCTTTTTATCAATTTGTTCAGATTCTTTGTCACTTATTCAAAGAAAATGGAAAATATGGGGCACAGCTGAACATGGCACTGCACTGTTGGGTGTAAGGATGCAGGAAAGCAACAAAAATGATGGCCAGCAAATTATTAGAAGTTCATTTTCCTTGTGCCAGAAAAGCTAAAAAGCAAACATTTTAAAAACATCCATACAGTTTTTCATATTGGTTAAATTGCACTGCAGGGAATGCAGTTAGTTACTCAAACAGGCCAAGTTTCCTGTGTCTCTATTTTTTTCCCAAAAACCTTTTGAAATCACTTCAGCTCTAGTAGAAAATATTTTTCCCCAACCTGTATAAGGCACAGGTCTTCATACATTTAGACAGAGTTACTAACCCATACACAATAAATCTAACTGTGAGTGAAAGTGAAACTGAAGAACTAATAATGAACAGTAATATTCAATATGTTATACACAATTTATATTAAAATAATTAATTTCATATATGAAAAATAGAAAAAATAAAATTAACCCAGCCACAATGTAAAGAAAAACCCAGCATAAGGATATAAAGACAAAACCCATTAGTGCTACAGAGGTTGAAACGGTGGACTGAAATCAGCTGTAATCTGAAAAACAAAGACAACATAAAACAGATGTTTTATTGTTATGTTTATTGCAACACAACTAACAGTAAAAGTTTTTTCATAACATAACCGGAACCCTTTTTCAGATAAGAAGGAACCTCATCACACTAATATCTTTTTTTTTTTTCCAATTCTCTGCTTGAATAACCATATTCCTTCACTGTTTTAAGTCAAATCCCTTACCCCTCAGAAAGCTGTTTTCCTCTATCTTTCTGTCTACCCTTTCAGCTCTGCATTACTGATTCCACTTGTCCTCTTTGTCTCCAGGTAAACTATTCAACAGCGGGACACACAAGATTTTTTTGTTCTCTCATCACAGAAAATGAAAATCATTAAAAAAATATTTCATTAAATTTAAACAGAATTACTTTCTTCTGTGTCCTTGTTTTGTGCTTTGGGCACATAATTAATTTGTTTATTTTTCTTCCTAGATTGTTTAATATTGATTTTGGTTGAATGTTTTTTTTTAGCATATTTTGGAGTTCGAATACTCCTTTTCTGTAATTAATTTGGCCTTGTTAATTTGTGGCTGTGTTTCGACATATTTGGGAAGGAGCCTACCGCCGCTCTACTCATTCGTCCAGCTCCACCAATGAGGCTGCGTCCTGACAAGGGGCGCACCCATCTCTATTATAGCTGTACCCTTTCTTCTAAAGGATAGTAGCAGTAGGCCGCAGCTGACGTCTCCATCATGCCATGCAGTATTTTTGTTTGGCATTGTTTGGTTGCTGTTTTCGTTGTGATTTTGGCCTGGTGGGACTGTTTTCAATTCTTCTTTTTTAGTAGATTCTTTTTTGCTATACTTTAGTACTAGTAAATGCTTCTGTTGGCCCCCGTTTTTTTTTTTTTTTTTTGATCGGCTCACCAGGTGCAGCTTTCTTTTAATAATTTGTTTGTTTTTTTTCGGGACATGGGAATCTGGGGATATTTAATTCCTGCAAACTTTGCAATTAGACAAGCAAACTCAAAAGTTGGACTACCAATGCAAACATTCAAGTTAAGAAAACACTCAGAACAGAAAAACCAGATAGAAAGCAGCAAACTATGAAATTTTCTGCAAACACAAAACCCGCTGTAGATACATAAATTATGCTAACATGCAAATGCACATAACTGATGCAAAGGAC